TGGTGTCCTGCTTTACCAATATTAAAATCTGGTCACCTTAATCTTGATTGACAGGCCAGACTCCACCCCTTCACTCATAATCCTCTCAAATTGACACCAGATTATATAAGTACCACATGCTCCTTCGAAGTGAGGATGGCAAGACTTCATTTCACGTGCATTAAACATGGTATCAGGAGAAACCAGGCCTTGGAGAAAGACATCATGCTTAGTACAGTAGAGGGTTCAGCGGGAAAGAAGCAGACCCTCAATGAGATGGATTGACCGAGTGGCTGCGACAATGGGCTCCCCCAGGGAAACCATGGTGCCAATGGTGTAGGGCCAGGCAGGCTTCGGTCCTGTTATATGAGTCAGAGCTGACTTGGTAGCACCTCGTTGTCCACTGAAGTCCATTCCATTTCCCCCACTTTGCTAAATAACCCAGCAACGATGATCTCCGTGTGTCCATCTCACTCCTACAATTTTGATCCAGCAGCCCAGAGGGGACCCCAATTCTCTCCTTCTCTGTTGAAGGCCTTTCCCGGGTTCCCCACACCCCACAGGACCCAGGCCAGACTCCTGAGCATGTTTTCTGGGGCCTTGTCCTCCTGACCCTCATTCTGGTTCAGGCTCTCAACGCCCCTGCCCACCCAACTCCTTCCAGGCGTACTGGACATTCCAGCCAGGCAAAACAGTTAACCATTTCTTGATGCTCTGGGCCTTGGATGATCCTCTCTGCCTGCCTCCGCCCAGTGTAAGTAACAGGTGCGTTCCTTAATGCTTGCAACTATAACAAACTCTGGGTTCCAAAAGGAGGAGCACGATGGCAGTTTAATTCCCATGTTCACGAAATCCAATGTCATGTGAGGTGGCCCCTCCCCACCTTAGAGCTCCTCCCACCTGCAGATCCTTGGAGACTGCGCCATTCATCTAGCACAAAGGAAAGAAGCGAGGAGACCAGCCCATGTCAACGGCTCTTTCATGTAGCCCATTGGCCAGGATTTAGTCATGTGACTTTAAGCTACAAAGGACCCTCTACCCCCAGCTGCCTCCTCCAGGAAGCCTTCCTTACCACCCCCAGCAGCCTCCCCATGATAGAGTGTCCTCCACTGTGGCCAGAAGGTAGTGAGGAAATGCCTGTGGAACAGATCAGTTTACCCTGTGCTGATGGCCACAAAAAGAGTCGCACACCTATTGCTATGTGGAGAAGGCCGATTAAAAGCAAAATGTGCCCCAAATAAGAGACCTTTCACATCATTATCTGCTCACATACCCCAACACACTGCCATCGCACTCACTCCAATGCAGCATTTCCAAGGCCGTAAATCTTTATGGGAGCAGACAACTTCATCTTTCTCCCACAGAGCGGCTGGGGGTTTGAACCACTGACCTTGGAGTCCTGAGCTTACTTATCCAACAGGGCCACCCTGTGTTGTTTCCTCACATGCTCATGTAGAC